GTACACTCACGGGGGCCAAGCGGGGAGGACCACCAACACAAAATGGAGAAATAAAGATATAGATATACCCCAAGAACAGCGATGGGGGACCAACAGGCAGACCCCCCCCCCACCAGGCAGAAAACAAAAACAAAAGAAAAACCCCACAAGAGGACAATGTACCCGGGTGGAACAGAGCCGGCCACTGTTAATGGTGAAAACTAGCTGTGCAGTATCGTGCGCCCCTGCCAGTGACGAAAACTACCCCCACCCAGAGACAAACAAGGGAAAGAAAAAAACCCAGCTGACCCCAAGGGAGGGCAAGTACCGAGCAGTAAACGGCACAGCGGAGGTAGACCCCAAGGTGACGCAGGGAAGGTGGCCCTAAGCCCCAAGAGCAGTACTTACAGGGCACCGTGGAATATCACTCCTGGCCCACGCACCATCGGAAGGGACAGCTCACACTACAAGGCACAGAACTACAACAGAAAACTGGAGCCAGAGGCCCGACCACACCAGATCCCATCAGCCTAAGAACTAATGGTTGGGTCGCCGGCGGTGGGGTCTGGGGCTCTCCCCTTCCCCCTCCCGGGGAGGGGGGGGGGGGGTTACGAAGACAGCGACGCGGCGACATGAAGACGTCATGCTTGTTTGCTAATTTTCGTTTGGGGAGTTCTGTCCACCTGTTCGGTCTTTGGTCGCAATAGTTTACCAGAAATGGGGTTTGTTTTGGGGCACCTACCTTTCTGGGTGCCTATCCCGGTCGATGGCAGACATAGAATGCTCCCAATCATAAGGGGGGTCTCTATAGGCCATTGCTCCTCGTGCCTCTCTAGAGGGGGGCCAAGTTCTGGCTCATGGTCACCGGTAGGCAAGAACTCCATGCATTGACTGATGCCAGAAAGATATACATATCCATTCAGCCTGGATAGCTCCGGGGAGCGAACGGGGCTCCCCCCAGAAAAACAAATTGTATGTAATGTACATATGGTCGAACCCATGTTAAAATCTGACCAAAATGTCAACCGGTTCAACCCATGCTCTGCGCCCCACACAATGGTCGCCCATGGCAACATTGGGGAACGCCCCAAGAATATTGCGGAAAACATCTTGATAACCAATTAACCAAAATTCAAAGTAAGTAAATGACAGGTTAGGGTAGGTTAGGCTAGGGCAGTGTTGTCCCACTGCACCATGGGGACACAATTCTATGGGGAAATGGTGAACGATAAAATCAGCGCTCGCCGATATCAACCCAGGAGACTACCGCAGAAACGCAGCACATGGGCCAACCCAACTACTACGTGGATCAGACATCATTATGGTTCGGAACATATAAGGGTGCAGCCAGGCACAGAACGACGGACAGTGAATAAGTGTCCAGATTCCCGGCTGACAAAGACACCAGACCATATAATCTCACCTGTTGAGCAGAGCCACTATCGGGTCACGACACAGCGTAGCCTCGTAAAAGTCTGGGAGCCTTGCTAACAGAGCATGTCCAGAGATGCTTGTGCAGATCAGGTGCAGTGGAGAGGCAGAGGAGGCATCACTCCTAGCCACCCCACACCCATAAGCAGAGAAATAACTAGATGTGTCCCCACATATAACCCAGAACGACCCTAATAACCAGGGGGCGATGACTGGAGAGATAAGATGAACGAGAGCAGGGTATAACCTGGGAGAAAGTGCGCTGAACATCAACATGTGTACACTGACCAGAACAAAACAATCACCCACGGCGCATGCGCAGGACACATGAGGTCCGGGCTGCACCACACCATCCCTGAGGAGGGTACCAACAAGGAATATGGAACCATTATTAGTAATGTTGAGACAAGGACGGATAGAGTACTAATGAGTCCTAGAAAGGACTGGAGGCAAGCCCCACCGGTAGGCAACAGACATTCCAACAATGCAGAAGCTCAAAATCACAGAGGTACAGATGTACATAATAGCATCCGTGACCAATGATCATGCAGGACCCGATGGAACATGGAACCGAAACCCGGGGAGGGGATGACGCCCAAAAGCAACTCGTACGCAGAGGGGGGTGAGGAAAACCCCACTCTTTGCAACAGAAAGCCCCTCTCGGAAGGTCGGAAAACCCAGGCAGGGTCCAATCGGGCTCAAAGCTCCCAAGTCCACCACAAAGCTCCCCGGGAACCACCACATCAGACCCTGGGGCCAAGTCGTCCTTCAAAGCCCCGGCCTCTTCCTGCTATGTTGGGGCGGCCGACATAGTAGGAAGAGAGCGGGCCCACGGGTCAGACCCCAGAGCTATGGCTGGTGGAAAAGACTTGAACGCCTCCGACGCAACCGCGGAAGGGGCAACCCCTGAAACTGCCCGAGTATCAAACCTCGAAACCCTGCCCCAACCCCGAAGCCCGCAGACGCCTAGGAGCCGGAAGCAGTGAAAGGGAACCGAATGAACCACAGCAGGGAAAGAACGAGGGGGCGCGAACTGAACCAAGGCCGACACGACCAATACCCCAATGTCCGCGCCCTGAGAAGCAAAATGGGGCAGCCTCAGGGCATCCAGGGAAGCAACCAAGCTAGCACGTTGCAACAACCTATCCGGCAACGCGCGAGCTGCCTGCACCTGAAGAATGTCATCAACAGAGTGGGTGATTGGAGCAACAAACAAGCAACAAAGCTTGCAGGACTCGGGTTCGAATGTGCCACCGACCCAACAGGCAGCATGACGGAGGCAAAAACAACGAGCGTCGCCCTGAGACAAGGGGACAGAGCAACCCTCAAACTCTCACAACGCAAAAGGGGACACAGGAGTCTCACCCAGTGGACCCGAGTGCCCCCACGGGGTTTCCCCAGGGCCCCTAGACTGGGTCTGCTAAGGGTTATCCCAGGCAGGGTACTGCTAACCAGCGCCTCAAACTACCAAGCAGACTGCTAAAAGCTGAACTCACGGGACGTGTCCACTCACGAGGGCGAAGCAGGGGGTGCCACCACACAAACGATCCTAAGAGAAAGGGGGAGAACACAAGGCAGAACCCCCTACCAGGCAAAAACAAAAAGAAAAGAAAAACCCTCGCAAGAGGACAACGTACCCGAAGAGAACAGAGCCGGCCGCTGTTAAAGGTGAAAACTAGCTACGCAGTACCCCGTGCCCCACCAGTGCAATAACTACCACTTACCCCAAGGCAAACAAGGGCAGAAATCCCCCCTCACACTCGAGGCGGCCAAACGCCAAGCAGCGAAAGGCCAACAGAGGTAGACCCAAGGTGACTTGTGGAAGGGAACCCCCAAGCCTCAAGGGCAGTATTTACAGGGCACGCAGGGAAGGTAACCCTAAGCACATGCAGCCCGAGTACCTGAGAAATTACTCCCAACTCGCACGCCACCATAAGAGCAGTACTGAAACTAATAACAGCACTGAGAGAAGACTGGAGTTGGAGCCACACGACTATGCACAATCCCATCAGCCGAGGAACTTAAAAGTGGATCACCCGCAAGAGGGCCTGGGACTCCCCGTTTCCCCTCCCGTAGTGAGGAGGAGCTGCGCAGACATGTGGTGCGGCTCATGTGACATCGTGCATGTTGCTCGTTTTTCTTTTGGGGATTTCTGTCTACTCATTTGGCGATTTTCGTGGTTTTAACCAGAATAGGGGTTTGTTTTGTGGCGCTTACTTTTCTGGGTGCCTGTCCCGGTCGATGGCAGATATAAAATGCTCCAAATCACATGTGCATTTCTATGGGCCATTGTTCCTCATGCCTCTGTGAGGGGGGGCCAGGTTCTGGCTCGTGGTCCCCAGTAGGCCTAGAACTCCACCCACATCAACTGATGCAAAATAGTTAGGGGTATTCACATCAGCCTGGATAGCTCTGGGGAGCCATAGGGGCTCCCCCCATTAAAGCACAAAAACAATGAAATTCTTCACAAAGAATTCAAGCGTCTCCCCATCACTAGGCTGGAGACACTGGTAAACTGTACACGTATATCTTGAGGTTATCTTGAGATGATTTCGGGGCTTTTTAGTGTCCCCGCGGCCCGGTCCTCGACCAGGCCTCCACCCCCAGGAAGCAGCCCGTGACAGCTGACTAACTCCCAGGTACCTATTTACTGCTAGGTAACAGGGGCATTCAGGGTGAAAGAAACTTTGCCCATTTGTTTCTGCCTCGTGCGGGAATCGAACCCGCGCCACAGAATTACGAGTCCTGCGCGCTATCCACCAGGCTACGAGGCCCCCTCGTAGGGGCCTCGTAGACGTACAGACAGGTCAGACGTACAGACAGACAGACGTAGGTAGGTCCACGGTCGCGATGGACCCGTACATGTATGAACAAACTCTGAAAACCGAGGCAAACGAGTACCGAATCAAATTTTTCAGAGAAATTGAGTACGAGTACTGAAAAATACGAGAACAGGGGCATACGAGAACCGAGGTTCCACTGTAGTTATTTGTCAACTATTGATTTTATGTACATTCGAAAACCAATGAAAAGAACTTATTAGTAAATATCTAAAGAGCAATTCTGTCGAGTCCTGATGACCTGACTGCATTTAAATATTTAAAGATGCTCCTGCATCAAATGATGTGGACATGAATGTACAATATTACAAGCAAACACACCATCCTAGCAGGAAATTACAATTCCAAGACAAGACAACAATGCATATTGTAACATAGCAGGTCGAAAGAAACTACAAAATAAGAAAAGTAAAGATATTGATAAGTAAAGGTATATATGCCTTTACAAGCAATATGGAAACTTGTGAATGTCTGAAAGAATTCATATACTGTACTATACTTACAGCAATTACAATATTACATATAGTTTATTAAATTTTGCCCGAAACGCTTTGCGTAATAGTGGCTTTAGGCATTGTATGTACTAGCTATACCTATAAGTTAAACAATCCTTGTAAATATTTATTGTATGTATGTACCTTACCTAAATAAAATTGTATTGTATTGTATTGTATTGTATTTTCAAACGAGCAAGAAATCCAATCAATTTATACAAAGGATAAAGCAATTTAAATATTAAAAGGCACTTACACTATGGCATTAACACCTCGACAGTAGCGCTCCCACATGGATCTAAACCGTGGTTGTCCTCCAATATCCCAGACTTTAATGGTAACGTTGCCCTTTGTGATCTTTCGCATGTTGAAACCCACTGTTGGTATCATGTCTTCACTAAACTGTCCTGACTGAAAAAGCAAAAGAAATGGATTAAAACTTCATAGACATATGCAACTTTATGCACTGTACCATACTGCATATATTAATGTACACTCTTATATTTTTTATAAATTTGACCCTTAACCCTTTAACTGCGCAACACATCATATGATGTGTTCAGTGACTTGCAGTAATTTACACTCCACATCATATGATGTATTGGAGTACTACACAAGATTTAAATGGCCCACGGATACACGGGGTTCACCACACCTTCATCAGGGCTCTTGTAAACAGATGCCATTTTTTTTTTAAATCGTGGGCCAAATTCCCGGGTGTGAGGGGCCTCAGTATTGAGTGAGCTACCAAGCCTGACACACGCAGCATGAGCTCACAGCACTGCTGTTCAGCTTGTGACCACAGCATTGCCTAAAAACGCCATAATATACATGTTCATGCTATTATTTAGCGATGATATTATTACAGAAAACCCCTGACTGTGATAAAAATGACCAGGATTCTGATAATAGCAGGATTGTGGTGATATTTAGCGCTTTGCTCCATGGAGGGAGGAGTAAGGCTGTGGAGGGAGGGTTGTGGCGTCGTCTTCTGACTGTGTGTGGCCACCATTTATTGACTGCACTCACCATACCAGCTAATTGGTTCGCTATGGTGAACACAAATGTGGATACTTATGTATAACGTGTGTATAATGTGAGATAACAGCAAGAGGAGTAGGTTGGGAGCCGCCATTTTGGCGAGGAAGGAGCGTCGTCTGCACGACTTAACATGTTGTTTATTGATGGCCACTATGGTCTTTAGGCACCATACCAGCTTATTTGTACTGGTATGGTGAATAAAACAGGTAGATACTTATATATAATGTGTGTATATAGCGTAATAACACCGCAAACATTATTATTGGAGGAGACATATTAGTGGGTCTGGCCTTGAGGGCGGCCGCCGATCAGCTGACTGTGTGAGTAGCTACGTCTTTGTGCCTTTATTGACCATACAAGCTTAGATGTACAGTTATGGTGAACAAAACATGTAAATACGTATATATAACGTCTGTGTATAGTGAATAAATGCAAAAACAGTATTGTGGGAGGAGAATGAGGGTAAGTGAGGTGGTGTTGAGGGAGGGAGTGGCATGCTTGTGTTTGGCGGTCACTCCTCGTTGCTTTTTGACTCACAAGACCAACTTAGTAGTTCGTTTTGGTGAACAAAACATGCAGATACTTATACATAACCTGTGTATATAGTGTAACAAGAGCAAAACTATTTGTTTATTGTTTTATGAACATAATAATTGAATCACTAATATGCACACCATAATTTTGAGTACAGCGATGGTTCACACATTTTATTATATAAATATACCACAATTCACTGTATTGAATAATATTACTGCAAAAAAACTAAGAAAAAATCAATCAGAGACATTGAAATAATTAGGTAATAATATATTTGTGGCAACTGCCATCTGACAGCTTGGGCGGAGTAGATCTCGTCTGGCGAAGGCTCTGCCAACGCCCCTTTTTTGCCACACTTCCCTACCCTATTGCGGCTAAAATATGCCACCAACAATTTTTTTTTTTTCCGTGATCAGGGAACAAAAATGAACACTTCTATAAGACGAAAGAATTTTTTGGATTTTTTTTTTTGTTGCGCCTGTGGGTGTGAATTCCATTTGGGCCCCTAGCGGTTTGAGGGTTAGGCATTGTATGTACTAGCTCTATCTATAAATCCATCAATATTTGTATCACCCCTTGTATGTATGTATTTTACCTGAATAAACATTTGAATTTTTTTTAATTTAAATTTTGTCTCTACCTCCTCCCAAAAATCCATAAACCAATCCTAACAGAAACGGGAACATGGCAGGGAAGACTAGTACACTACTCAGCAGATGCAGAGCCCCCACAAGACCTGTGGACTGGATCTGCACAGCGCTCCTGAGCCCCCTCCTCAAACTCCTGAATGATAGGAGACACTACGGTTTTCCTGAACAAGGTAAACCAGGTGAACGAAGAACGAGGCCTTGTATCAGAAGTGACCACTGCATTACGCAGGAAAGCGGAGGATATTCTGGTGGGGGAAGAAAAGACATTTGCAGAGCGCGATCCGCACAGCGCTGGGCGAGCAGCGCAAGGGGGGGGGCTTATATAAAGGGGGAGGAGAGGTCATGCGCTCTCTCCTGCTCCCGCCACGCACCGCTTCGCAAGTCAAAACCCACCCTCCTCCCCTTCCTGGGTGCAGTCAGCTAAACTAAGCAACAGTCTTATGTCTATTGAGGGGGGTGCAGCGCCGGCCCCTAAGTGTTCCGCTGTCCGCAGCTACCTACTCTGACTTGTAGGAGTAATGTTAATTTTGCCCTTTATGTGTATTCTGCATGTACTGGTTAATTTATGTACTAATTCATCAGGAATTTACATTATATTTTTTCGGGGCGCTTGGACAGGGGCATTATTAAATGTTACGTGTTTAGGCATTATATATGCTACTCTAAATGCCCCGATTCTCCATGACAAATATGTTATGCATTTGCCTTACTTTTACTCATAGATAATAAGTATTCGGTGTTCTGCAGATCTTGATTTATTTAGTTCCCGGCTATAAGCATGATAAGTTCTGTTACGATATATCGTATCGTGTTATTCCATCGCATAAAGGCACGATTATTTAAATCATACGTTCATTATTACAGGAAGAACGAGGTTAACAACCATGGAGGTCGTTAACGGTCAGCACGGTATGGCTCGTCCGGTGGCGGGAATTTCCGATAGCCAATCAGAACCACCGGGCGAGGTAACGTGTGCTGGCCGGAGCATGTGGAGAGACAGACATCTACTCCCCTCCATTGAGTCAACAGGCTGTCGTCGCGTTTGGATGTGTGACCAACGGACCCAACTGTTAGTGTGCTCCACCCTCATGAAGGAAGAGGACCTCGAGGCATGGTCGACGTTCTTGAAAGTTATGGAAGATAACAGCTTTGAGATTTAGAGGTCGGCATGGAGGTAACGCGCTGATTTTCCTGATAGCAGTACAAATTGCAGGAAAGTAGATGATTTATAAGTGGGAAGATCAATCGGACAAGAGACGACCGTAGCATGGTCGTAGTATCTCTATATATATATATATATTTAACTGTACTTGTGTACAATGCACACATATATATATACGTGTAAAATATTGTATATAAGGTGATTAGAGCTATATCACAATACAGTATATCCATGATGTTTTATACCATCTTATTTTCTTGTCCTTTGTCAGACCTCAGCACAAAGTGTGTCACACCTGACAACAGGTCCGGCTGAGGCTGACACCTGTTCAGATTCATGTACCCCGTTGAAGTACAACGAAGCATTAGGATAAACATTCAGAATAAACTAAATTAAATGTGTTGGGTTGTCAACAGTTCGATTCCAACAGTTCCCGGCTAGTGCGTCTGACCTTGAATGTGTGAGGGAAGCAGCCGCCACCTAACTGTGTAGCGATGTCTCTTAGTGCCTGAACTAACTATATCAACTTAGTTGTACAGTTGTGGTGAACAAAACATGCAGATACTTATATATAACATCTGTATATAGTGAATAAAAGCAAAAACAGTATTGTGGGAGGAGAACATGGGTGAGCCAGGTGAGTTGAGGGAGGAAGGAAGTAGCAGCCAGAGTCGGGCTGCCACTGGCTGCCACTGCCACTGAGCATGCCAACTTAGTGGTTCGTTATGGTGAACACGAATGTAGATACTTATATATAACGTCTGTATATAGTGAATAAAAGCAAAAACAGTATGGTGGGAGGAGAATGTGGGTGAGTGAGGTGTTGAGGGAGTGAGTTGACAGCGAGTGGCTGGCTGGTGTGTGGCAGTCACTCCTCGTTGCTTTTTGACTCATAATAGCAATTTAGTGGTTCGTTATGGTGAACAAAACATGCAGATGCTTATATATAACCTGTGTATATAGTGTAATAACCGACAAAGTATTTGTTCACTGCTTGATGAACATAATTGAATCAACAATATGCACACCATATTTTTTATTACAGCGATGATTCACTCATTTTATTATATAAATATATCACACTACATACTATTGAATAATATTACAGCAAAAAACTACAAAAAATCAATCAGAGACATTGAAATAATTATGTAATTATCTCTTTGTGGCAACTCCTGTCTGACAGCTGGCGAGCAACAGACCGTCTGGGACGCAAGCTGAGTCAGCGCCTGTTTTTTGCCAGACTTCCCCACCCTATAGCAGGCAATATATGCCACTTACGATTTTTTTATTATCTTTCCCATGATCAGAGAATACAAATTAACAGGTTTAGAAGAAAAATAATTTTTTTTTTGGTATGCGCCTGTGGGTGATAAATGCTAAATAGCCCGAAGCCACACAAGGGTTAAAGTGCACAAATCATGCATGCATGCATATATATATTATATATATATATATATATATATATATATATATATATATATATATATATATATATATATATATATATATATATATATATATATATATATATCTCTTGAGGTTATCTTGAGATGATTAGGTATATATATATATATATATATATATATATATATATATATATATATATATATATATATATATATATATATATATATATATATATATATATATATATATATATATATATATATATATATATATATATATATATATATATATATATATATATATATATATATATGTCGTACCTAGTAGCCAGAACACACTTCTCAGCCTACTATGCAAGGCCCAATTTGCCTAATAAGCCAAGTTTTCCTGAAATAATATATTTTCTCTAATTTTTTTCTTATGAAATGATAAAGCTACCCATTTCATTATGTATGAGGTCAGTTTTTTTTATTGGAGTTAAAATTAACGTAGATATATGACCGAACCTAACCAACCCTACCTAACCTAACCTATCTTTATAGGTTAGGTTAGGTTAGGTTAGGTAGTCGAAAAAACATTAATTCATGAAAACTTGGCTTATTAGGCAAATC